AATAATTATTGAGATAATTAATTTTGATAGCATACTATTCAGAGGGAAATTAAAATTTCAAGTTAGCAAAAAATTTTATTAACAAACACTGTTCCTGAAGTAATTCTAAACACATTTTGTTAATACAAATTTTTGATTTGATCAATAATTAAGAACATAATCTCAAAAAATTTATATATATACAGGGTGATTCACATAAGAACCGACACAGAACAGGGACATGTAGAGGACAATAAATTAAGATGATTTAACGTAACTTACCTCTATACTAAGTTGTACACCTGAGGAATTATAGACCTTTAAAGTTGGCTCTTAAATTTTTAAAAAGTTCAATATCTTCGTAATACATTAAGCTAGAAAAACCAAATTGGGTATACGTTATGAGTGTACCAAGGGTATTAATTTAATAAGCATTTCAAAGGGTTGATTAAAAGTGATGGTACCCTAAATTTTGACAGATTTTTTTAATCTTTTGGCGGATTGAATACATTACTACTTCATTTCATGTGGAATTTAATTCTAAAACTTTTCTTACTCTTATTATTTTTTAAAAAACTTTGTCGTTTTCATAGAAAGCTTAAATAACTAAACCCACGTATTTCGTAATGTTGCTTAAAATAAGTGAAAATTCAGTAGTCGGCTATGAAATTGTATGTCAAACTTGACAAATAGGTTATAAAGTTATTCGACGACAAGGTTTTATAACCTATTTGTCAAAACCCCCCATCATTTTCCTTATCTAAATTACACCCGGCTCAAATGTTAGACATGTCCCTTGAAGACCTCGTAGAAACTGGTGAAGTCTTTTCCCAATTTTACAATTTATCAAATATCAACATGGAAATCGAATTCAAAAGAATTAAGTGTTGTGGATGTCATAAAAGATGCCGACATTTTTTCTCTGAAACGAGAAAAGCCTTTAAAATTTTGGTCACTTTACCCTGCACGACATATACTGTTGAACGATCTTTTAGCAGCTTGAGGACAATAAAACCTGGCTTAGAAGCACTATGGCAGAATGTCGTCTCAATGGTCTTCCCATGATGAGTGTGTATAGGAAGCATATTTTTGAGAACTTTGAGGTGTTTTTGGATGTGTTTCCACAATAATCAGCATTGGCATCATCAGTAAGGTCTTTTAATTAATTTTGAATATTATTTTGTTTGTGGCTATCTTAATTTAGTTTTATCACTAGGATTTCTATTGATTTGCCATTTCTTTCTCGCTTTCCGTTTTTCTACAATTTTATCTCTAACAAATTTAGGATATGTTAGATTTAGGTTTTGGTGTTAAAATAGGTATTGAGGTCTAGGCAGAGTTTTGTATGCCTTTGTCAATGTCTTAGTTGGAGAGCACCTCACAATTTAGGGCCTCTAATGCATGTTTCAGTTCTATTCCTNTCATTACAGCATCGGATACTGTAAGGAGTCTCATTACAGCACCCGTTTGAGTACTGTTATAGCTTCCATTACCGTAGCGAATTACAAAAAACATTTTACACAATTTCGTGATGGTTATATTAAGGTGTGTCCACACATTGCGCGGCAAGTGCGCTGCGCACTTTAGTTTATGTCAAAACAGATGTTAGATATAAATGAAACGTCACCTACTAAAAAACAAGTCAAACCTATTCGACAGATAAATTTTTATACCGAACCTCAAATTAGTAAACCAACAAGATAAATATGATGGTAAAATACGATTTTTGCGCTATTCGTTAGCTGAAGATATTAACCACTTTAATTAGAGATGGTAAAAGTGGGCCTAAACTAACCTGATCCAGTTACATTGCTATTCTTTTCTCTATTTCTTTCCCGCCTACACGAACTTTAAAGACTTTTCATTTTAGCCTTTAATTCCGTCTTAGGAAGATTAAAATTGTCGGCTATTTCGTCCCATAGGTATTCACGTTTAATTTTATTGCAGTTCAACGATCCATATACCTCAATTAAATGGATCGATGTTTCGTTATCCATCTTTTGTATCCGACAACACGTCCATGATTACCCACGAATGTTTACTGCAAATATTCGTTAGCAACAGCTGGAACACGATACGCTGCGCAATGTCTGGACACATCTTCACAATGAACTTTGGGCTATGCTTGCAGAAAACGTGAAAAACAAAATCCAATCCTTCAACAGAAAAGAGTGTCTCGGGGTTTTTGTGCATTCCTGTCTTTTAGGGGATAGGAAATAAGGCTGTGAAATATGAATATCAACCTTTCGATATTCCATTTTGAAAATTTTGACAATGTTGTTGTCACATAGTTGTTGGACTTCTGATAAAATACTTTCTTTGAGATGTTCAGCAAACAAATTAACTTTTTCTTGATTGCTCTTAGCCCAATTTGGATGTGTTTCCACAGAGAATAATCAGTATTGGCATCATCAGTAAGATCTTTTAATTAATTTTGAATATAATTTTGTTTGTGGCTATCTTAATTTAGTTTTATCACTAGGATTTCTATTGATTTTCCATTTCTTTCTCGCTTTCCGTTTTTCTACAATTTTGTCTCTAACGAATTTAGGATATGTTAGATTTAGGTTTTGGTGTTAAAATAGGTATTGAGGTCTAGGCTTGTCAATGACTTAGTTGGAGAGCACCTCACAATTTGTCAAGCGTTTTCAAGATGCAGTAGAATTTACTGATAATCTTCTCTTTTGAGATTATTTATGAGCTAATAGGATGCTGGGATTTGTAATGCGTTCGTTTGAATCTTTTACTAACACATTGCCTATAAAACATGTTTAAATTACAGATTTCTGTAATTATCATAACGTGAAGTGGTTGCTGTCACTTTAAGTTATCTGTCAAATGAAATATAGGCCCTAAATAATGCCTTTGTAAATAATATTTTGTTTCAGAAACACTGTTTGGAATCTTCACTATAATGTTTATGTTAATAGAATAGAGAGAGTTCAGGTGAGGTTTCTAAAACACCTTTCCTATCGATTCTGTTCACTTCTTGTTCAGGTTGATCAATAGTTACTGCAACTTGTAGTGGTCTTTCTATTGTTAAATTACATATGTAGTTGTGAGGTAGTTCCTAATGGGACTTGTCCTATCTCTACCTCTATGTTTAAATAAATAAATAAAAACATTTCTAACCTCAAAAAATTTTTAAGTCAATTGTAGCATTAATTAATTATTTGAGTTAAGTACTTACCCAAATAAAGTTTAAATCACATTTTTCATCTCCTAAATACTCCTTAATTATCAAAGAATAAAGTATTTCGTTACATTTCTCGCCCTCCTAATGGTTATTTTAGCACCTCATTTTTTAGAGGTTATGTTTTCATCTGACATTTACATCTAAATATAAAAAAAACTTACAAATTAGTTTTCTAATTAATCCTTAAAAAATTAAGTTATCATAACAAAACTAAATTAATTTTAATTAAACCTAAATGAATTAACAAAAAGTTAAAATTTTAAATTAAGAATTAAATTACAGATTTCTATAATTATCGTAACGTGAAGTTGGTTGCTGTCACTTTAAGTTGTGTCAAAATATAAATGAAAACGTTTTCAAAACGTCATAATTTGTAGAGATCGCGATAAAACGCGAATAATCTCGTCGAGTAAACAAATAGAGCGTATAGAAGACGAGGAGTTTAGCACGCGGAAAGAAAGGCGCCATAAAACAGAAACGCCGACAGTTTCTATACGAAAATCATCGTGTTAGAACCGCAACTTTTCGCTCGGAAAATGAATTGTTCGCGTCGTCAAGTCAGTAGTTAGCAAAACCTCGAACTTGTAACACATAATATAATCCAATTATCTCATCCGCGTTGAACACGTATTTATATAGAAAATTTAATCAACAATAAGTTGTAAAGAAAAATATAAAAATTATTTAATTGTTCTAAAATAACAGGTAAGTGAAAGTTGTTTTCGTCAATTTACTTCCGTTTTCATTCAAATTATTTATTATTACGCAAAGTTCTCGTTAAAAATTGTATACGTGAAAGGTAATGTTACCACATAATTTTATTTTAGGTTAGTTTAGATTGAGTATTGTTTAAATTTTTCCGTTATCGTTTTTTTTAATGAGATAAGTCAAGTTTATTTTAATTATTTTTTTGTTGGTTTGATCGTTATCTCAACCCGTTTTGAGTACAATTCAAAAAAAAGACCTTGAATTCGAGCCAATTTTTGTTGCAGCTTTTTTACTTTTATGTATAATATTTCAAGCTTTTTAATTACGCTAATGGTTCGTTTTATTTTTGTATTTACGAAATTATTTTATCTTGAATAATACAATAATCGTTTTCTATTAATTTAATAATTAACAAATCGCTGATAACTGCATTTATTTTTTTTTCAATTTCTAGCGAAGAAAGCGTAAAATTACCGGTATTTAACCCAGATCATTTACAAACATAAAGAAATCTCAACATTTTCCTTTGAAACGATCAATTTTTATCACCACTTATTAAGAAAGTTGAAAGTTTTTAACTGTCAAATTTAAATTAAACGTCAAAGTTGTTTCAAAATGGCCGATTTCAAAGTTACCAACCCCTAAGTTTGAAATAAAACTAAATATTTTTGACGTTTATCATTTTTTGTGTTAATTTTGTGTTAAATTTGAATGTGTTTAGTTAAAGGATGTCAAAATCAAGCCACATCGTCAGTAATTCAGAATCAACCACGAAAATCCCAACGTTAAGACGTTCGGGTAGTTTGCGATCGTCAACGAATTTAAATTTTCGTCGTTCAATAGATAGTGGTAGTTTCGCGGCGTCGCCGTCGCATAAATCGGGGGTCGCCACCGCGGCTCTGCAAAGACCACCCCCGCCGCCTCGCCTCCAAAGGGGCTACTCGTTCGTTGAAAAAGGAACCGTCCCCGTCGTCGGTGGGGATGGACTGCAACGGAGGCGATTTTCGATCAGCACCGGCGGAAGGAGACGGAAAAACGTGACCACGGAGGGGTCGACGATTCAAGAGCCCCAAAACGGGGGGGCCAACAACACTCCGTCAAGAAGCAGAAGCCTGGTAAGTTGCTACATCTTTTTTTGTATCTAGTTAAACGGAAATTAACGAGTAAGGGTATTGATTTTTAAGATATTTAGGTTAAATTTAAGATTATCTTACATAACCTAGAATATTTTTTTAAATATTATATCGGGGTGAAAGATGGTGTGATTTTGTGTAGAAAGTATCGATTTTTTGCACTTGTGCAACTGATAGGTTTGTGGTTTCACTTTCTTGCGTTAATGTTACGCTTCTTGCTTGCAATCCATCCATAAAGAATCATTTTCGCGTGAAAGTATTAAAAAAAAAATAACAATAAAATCACAAAATTGTTGAAAATTTTGACAAGTAATTCAAAATGGTTGATTTCAATGATGCCAACCCTAAAAACTCCTAAACTTAATTAAGGCAACTGTCAGTCATCGCCCTTAATGACCCCATCAAAACTTGAAAGTTCTCTTAACCTTGTTGGGTTTTTTATCTCATTTGTTCAAAAGCAAGTAATATGTTGAGGAACTTCAAAGAACGCAAACGATTATTACTATGATCTTATTGTAATAATCAAAATTCTTCCAAAACTTTGTGTATACAGGCTATTTAATACTTACCTAATACTCACGCCCTCCACATCAAGCCATTTCCCAAAAACCACAACAATTGGTTCAGGATCTATTTCTTTGCTAGCAATATGCAGTCTTCTGCAAACTGTATCTGATCTTCTAATAGCAGTATCTAGTCCGTTGCAAGCTGTAAATAGTTTTCTGCGCAGTACCTACTCTTCTGCTAAGAAAATGTAGACTGCTGTAAAGAGTACCTAGTGTTCTGATAAAGAAATAACTAATAACTCTGCTACTGGGCCTTAACAGTTCCAACCCCAATACCAGCTAACAGCCAAAAACTTCTTAAAAATAACCTTCCCTCCACACACTGCACTGTACCTATTAGGGCACGGAACTTTTGTAACAAAACGACACGATTTCTAAAACAATTTTTTCAATACAAAATATATAAAAATTTTTTTGAGGCTATGTTCTTAATTATTGATCAAATCAAAAATTTTTATTAACAACATTTGTTTAGAATTACTTCAGGAACAGTGTTTGTTAATAAAATTTTTTGCTAACTTAAAATTTTAATTTCCCTCTGAATAGTATGCTATCAAAATTAATTATCTCGATAATTATTGTTTTTATCAAAAAATGTTTTAAATAAAATTTGTTTCAATTTCGATTTTGAATCAATTATCTTAATAAAAAATTTTTACATCTCTATTAATTCAGCATCTAAGTATAATTATGTATAAAAATGAAAAAATTATTATTTTAAGGTTATATCCTTAATTATTGATTAAATCAAAAAAAAATTTTGACAAAGTTTATTTAGAATTGTTTCAGAAACAATTTTTGTTAACACAATTTTTTTCTAACTTGAAATTTTAATTTCCCACTGAATAGTATGCTATAAAAATTAATATTTTTGAGGTTATATCCTTATTGTTGATTTAATCAAAAAATTTTGTTAACAAAATTTGTTTAGAATTACTTCAGGAGCAGTGTTTGTTAATACAATTTTTTGCTAACTTGAAATTTTAATTTCCCTCTGAATAGTATGCTGTTCTTTTAATCAAGATTTTCTTGCTGAGAACGAGTGGAGGGGGAAAATCGTATCGTTTTGTTACAAAAGTTCCGTGCCCTAGTACCTATACATTAATATATCTACGCAAAACGTAATAACTTATTAAATTTCTCCAAAAACAGCATAGTTCAACGTAAAACATGTTATATATATAGAAATATATATATATATATATATATATATATATATATATATTATAATAATAAGTTATAGTCTTACTTAATCCTACCTAATGTTACGATGTTACAACGTCCATACTACTTCATTGCCAGCAATATGTAGTTTTCTGCTAACCATATCTTATCTTCTAATAGCAGTATCTGATTTTCTAATAGCAGTATCTAGTCTTTTCCAAAATATAAGTAGCTTTCTGTAGCAGAATCTAATCTGTCGGCATCATCCGGTGTTGTATCAGCAGTCTTGTATCTAGTCTTTTGCCGGCAGTGTCTAATTATCTGTTACTGGTAGTGTCTAGTCCATCATAGGCAGTATATAGTGTTCTGCAAACTGCATGAGGCCTTCTCTTGGCTCTTGCAATGTTACAACGTCCATACTATTTAGCACTAAGCAATCCTGCGTCCAACTCGAACTACACAATAAGGTTTCAATAAGCTATTATACACAACATTAATTTTCCATAGCCTCGAAAAGGCCTTCAACATGGTTGGGATTGAGAAACCTGTACATAACCCAAATAAACAACTCTCCCCAATTCATCAAAGTAGTAGCCTGTAGTAGCTAGTCTTCTATCAGCAGTATCTACTTTGTTGTGAGGACTATCTAGTCTTCTATATACAAGATCTATTTCATTGACAGTAATATGTAGTCTGCTAATCATATCTTAAACTGTATCTGATCTTCCAATAGTAGTATCTAGTCCCTTGCAAGCTGTAAGTAAGTAGTCTTCTGCAGCAGTACCTACTCTTCTGCTAGGTAAATGTAGACTGTTGTAAAGAGTAAGCAAGCAATATCTTGTCTTCTGACAGCAATGGTTACTCTTTTGCGAGGTGTATCCAGTCTTCTGTAGTAGATCTAGTTCTTTGGTAGCAATATGTACTCCTTTTCACGCCCTCCAAATCAACCTACTTCCCAAAAACCACAACATTTGCTACAGGATCTATTTCTTTAACCCTTTAGTGCCCAAACATAGAAAATAATATTTTTTAATGTTCTTTTCCCAGAAATTGATTATTTTCTAATATAGAACTCCATTATTTGTATTTATTAGTGTAAAAAATATTTTTTGGTTTTTATTTCTGTTATATTAGTAGACATGTATATCCTATTCCAACTGCCAAATATCAAATCTTTTGGGTCTATGGCTCCTACTTCTTGTAGATAGCTTGCTATCTACATTATAAGATGTGATAGCTAAATACAACTATGTTTTCTATTGCATACTAGATGTACCTAACAAGAATCTTTATTCGAGATATCGAGACATATATCGTTTTTAGCCACAATTTTTTTTTAATGTTTTTCGCCTCAACATTTTTAACACCTATCTTGAAGGTATCATCATATAGCATCCACAATCATGTCATCATTGTCTTCTATGTACACTATCATCTAAAGGTAAATCCAACAATAATATTTCATCTGCCACCTTTTGCCGCTCTACATTAATTTTATAGTGCCATTTGATTTGCGTATTTATTCCTGACGATATTTTTCAGACCTCTGAAATAAAGGGCATTATCTCAGCCAAAACATATATTATATCCATAAATGTTGCCTAAAACAGCTAAAGTAATCATTATTCACAACTACTAACCTGCAAAATACAATTTTTTTTTAAATTTAGTTCGCAATTTGTGATCCAAGTAGAACGATTTAACACAATAAAAATCCTGCTAATATAAGTACTGACAGAAAACATACACAATATATACTTTACCGTCATGCACAATCATTTACTAACGCAGATTTTTTAGTTAGTTTATACGTTCATCAAATATTCGTTGATAACTAAAAGTACTGCCGGGCACTGAAGGGTTAATAGCAATATGTAGTCTTCTGCAAACTGTATCTGATCTTCTAATAGCAGTATCTAGTCCTCTGCAAACAGTAAGTAATCTTCTGCAGCAATATCTACTCTTCTGCCAAGAGAATGTTGATTGTTCCAAACAGTACTTCTTCTTCTGCAAGCAATATCTAGTCTTCTGACAGCAGTGCAAAGAGTGTCCAGTCTTCTATTAGTAGTATCTAGATCTCTGCTAGCACTATGTACCACCGCACGGTAATTATAAAAATCAGCTCAACAATCCCTAACACTGCAGAAAGAAAGGGTCCTAACGGCCTCGTCATACCCCGTCTCCTAAAAACTCTTATTAATGAAGTAATAATAACCAACCTCAACATGAAATCCATCCTAGTCTTTGAATTCAAAGCAAATACGAAGCTATTCATAACCACACATGCCCCCACACAACATCTGGAAACTACAGCAACTTCATAACGGCTACAAATGAACTATATGAAAAATTGTAAACAACATATCGTATTGTAAACAATTGTATACAGCAGTATCTAGTCTCTTGCAAGGTGTAAGTAGCTTTCTGCAGCAGAATCTAATCTGTCGGCATCATCCGGTCTTCTATCAGCAGTATCTAGTTTTCTGTCGGCAGTGTCTAATTATCTGCAAACACTGTCTTAGTGTCTAGTCCTTCATAGGCAGTATATAGTGTTCTGAAAGCTGCATGGAGTCTTCTCTTGGCTCGCAATGTTACAACGTACTACCATACTATTTTGCACTAAGCAAACCTGCGTCCACCTCGAACTACACAATAAGCGGTTTCAATAAGATCTTATACACAACTTTAGTTTTCCGTGGTCTAGAAAAAGCCTTCAACACTTATACATAATCCAAATAAACAACTCTCCCCAATTCATCAAAGTATTAAATAGTACCCTAAGCTCCATTATATCCCAAGTTTTAACTCGAAAGTATTGTTCTAATTTTCTGTCTGGTCTTCTGCCAGCAGTATCTACTTTGTGAGGAATATTTAGTCTTCTATATACAAGATCTATTTCATTGACATTAATATGTAGTCTTCTGCTAATCATATCTTATCTATACTCTTACAGCTTTCCCTAAAATATACTCATATTTTATAGTTTCCATTTCTTCTCTCAGTTTTTTGATATCTATTCCTTCTTTCATAGCTCGCTAAAGTTTCTTAGAGTTGAGTTGGGTTGGGTACATATTTTCATTCTCATTCCTCGTGCTATGAATGATTTAATGCAGTTCTTGGCTTAATGCGTACCATCTTATCAAACAAATTCCTCTCCGTCCCACCATATTATCATCATCAAGTAGCTATATCATATGCACTCCTGAAAAAAGCCTCTCGTAAAGGTTTCCACGTTCCTCTATTTCTTCTTCCATTTATCCAGCAGATCATCCAACCAGCTCTAATTTGTGGTCTCTATTCGCTTATTTTCCTTATATATCTGCCATCATTTGTTCTTATTATTCTTTTCATGTGTTTAGACTTCGTATGTTAGTACTGATTAGTTAGCACTCGCTGATTATATACTTTACTCTTGAAGTACATGGGAATATCTTTAACGTTAACCCTATTCTTGTGTTTCATGGTCTTCAAAGTGTTTGTACGAATATACTTGCTCAATATAAGAATTGATACTGATAACCACATTCGTCATGTACTTTGTCTTTTCAAAATTGATGTTCCTAACCTCTCTTGAACCTAGGTTCCAGTTGCATAACGCAGTATCTGATCTGTCTTCTGCCGGCAGTATTTAATTATCTGCAAACACTGTCTTAGCCTATTAGTGGTAGTGTCTAGTCCGTCATAGTCAGTATGTAGTGTACATGCAGCTTATGTGGTCTTCTTCCGGCAGTATTTAGTCATCTGCAAACACTGTCTTAGCCTGTTAGTGGTAGTGTCTACTCCGCCATAGTCAGTATACAGGGTGTGTCAAATGTCTGGAATATAGTCAATAACTTCCAATAATATAGCCAATATACATTATTAATTATTTATAATTGTTGATACTGTAATTTTTTTGACATTTAAAGCTGTCAACGGCGTAATTTCGACACTTACTTTGATTGTAATTAGCTGCTTTAAGACTTTCAAAGAACGCATTTTTTCTCGATTTTTTTCTTATACAACCATATCATTTGATATGTTCATCGCATAGAGGAACTTATCCTCTATCAAAGTATGCAAAAAAATATATGCATCCCATTTAAAATAACAATGTTGGTTTCCATAGCAACGAAACAAACAAATATCGCCAAAAAATGCGCCATTATTAATAAAGAAACTTGTATTTGAAACATTTTTCTTTAAAACCACAAATGGCGAAGTTATTGGCTATGTTCCAGACATTTGACACACCCTGTATAGTGTACATGCAACTTATGTGGTCTTCTTCCGGAAGTATTTAGTCATCTGCACTGATTATCAACTTATACGCATAAACTTGAGGATTTATTCCTCATGACAAATAATGACTAATAGATGAAAAAAATTGTAGTAAAAGTTTTTTATGCGTATAGTTTGAGAATTACCCTGTATAGTGCGATTGGCAGTATATAATTTCTTGCCAGCTGTATTTCGTCATTGCCCCAAGAAAATGTAGACTGCCGCAAATAGTATCTAGTTTTCAGCAGTAATTACTCCTCTCTGAAGAGTATCCAGTTTGCTATTAGTAGTATTTACTCCATTGTTAGTAATACATAGTCTTTTCAAGCAATATCTAGTCTTCTGACATCAGTAGTTACTCGTCTCCGAGGAGTATCCAGTCTTCTATTAGTAGAATCTAGTCCTTTCCTAGCAATATCTGGTCTTCTAACGGTAATAAATTTATTTAAATTGCTGATATCATCGCAAAATGTTCTATCTGTACCGTATTGGTTATAATTCTTCGTCCAACTCTATCTTATTGGCTACTATCTTATCGAACAATTTCTTTTTCGCCCTAAAATATCATCATCAAGCAGCTGTATCTTTAATAATTGCTGAAAAAAAATTTCATTGTGCATTGTCTTGCCTTGTATTGAATTTCTTCCCTCATATTCTTTGCTTAAAAAATCCATTTGTATTCTATTATTGTTAACTTTTTTCCACATTTTCTATTCTTGAGAAGATTTCAATGGAGTACATATTTCTGTTAGGAGAAGTTCATCTTCAATACTGTAATCTTTTAAGTATGAAGGAAGTTTAATGATGCGTCTTGCTGAGATGTTATATGACATCTCCTCCTTTGGTACCTCTGCTTCTATTACTTCATTATTTTCTGAACCCAAATGTTCGTTGTGATTTTCTTCTTCACTTTTGTATCCATCGTTTATTTCTAGGATACAGTTTCTTCTAGGCAGCTCAATATTGTTGTCTTCTTTGAAAATGACGTGACGAGATGTCCTCGCATTCCTTGTATTTGGGTCATACAATTTATAATTTGTACCTTCATATCATACTAATAATTCTGCTTTTCTTCTCGAGCTTTTTCCATAAATGGTCTGGGGTAAGGAGTCATCAAACTTATTTACTTGCATAAAGCTTCCTGTGTCAGCCATTTTTATCTGTTTCGTTGACAGCTTGTATACGGTCCGAACATAGCCACGTATCATTCAAAAAGACTACCACTAGATGGCGTTTCAAACATGATTAAGTAGGTAACTAAGTCTTCTTTTGTCCCATGGCCTTCATGTCGTAAGTATTTGTACGAATATACTTGCTCAGTATCAAGTAACCTTGATGCCAGGTTCCAGATTGCGTAACTTTTGCACTGCTTCATATCTGCATTTTTATTTCACAATCTTGGGTCCACCTCAAAGGCACACAATTAAAAGATCTAAATATTTCAAAATTAATCATCCTCAATCAATAACTTACCTATCTAATTTTTTTAGTCGCTCTCTTTATCAACAACTCACCTGGGAGTACCAAAACCGTCGACGTCGCGAACATCATCACCAAAAACGCCCCCGGTTTCACCGGAAGTCCGAAAAAAATATAAAGATTGGGATACAGAGAGTTTAACGAGTATTAATAGCGGCCTCAGTGTGGCTTCGTCATGCGATCACGCAAGTGTGGCTCTAAACGGAACCACATTTTCTGGAAGAAGCATGAAGTAGCATTAATAAATTTAACTTTTAGATATAAATTACTTAATTAATTTTTTAATTTTAGATATGTGGTTCATTGCAATCAACACGCTGGCGTTACCGGCGAAGATTACTTAACACCAACGCAAAGAGCGCATAGGCAAGTTAAAAAATTAAAATATTTATTACAACAGGCGCAAAAAGATCTAGAACAACGAGATAACGACATAGTAAAATTAACCAAAGAAGTCGTCGAATTAAGACTTTATAAAGCAGCTTTGAGCTCGCCCGAAGATAAATCGAATTCAAGCGATGCCGTTACTGTTAGAGAAAATCCTACGGATGAGCAAGCGACCCCTGATGATCTCATCGATACGATAAGTAACCATTTAGTTAATGATATGAGTTGTTCTTACGCCGATTCGGGTCATTACGATGATTTTACAAACTCATCGATTCATTCCAAAGATTCCTCGGTTGTTTTAAGCGAAGATTTTAATCCTTCGCCGTATAAACAGCGTAAACATGTTTTAATGAGCGATAAAAGTACGAGTGTTGATACAAGCAGCAAAGATTTTCAACAAGAACACCAAGAATTAATTATGGAGTATGAGAAGCGCTTACATGAATTAATTAGGACTCACGAAGAGGAGACTCACGTGATTAAACAGAAACATAACGATAAAGTCGAGGAGTTATTACAAAGAATAACCGAGATTAATAGTAGATATTGGCAGTTGGTGCCGGAATTGGATTGCGCGCGGGAAAAAATTAAGGAATTGGAGAAAGAATTGGATGAAGCGTGCAAAAATTTGGAGGATACAGAGGAAAAAAATAAAAAAATGTATTTGCAAATGTATAAGAAAGGGGAGGAGGCTGCTAAAATAGAACAAGAAAATAAAGTAATTAACATAATAATCAAGTAAATATTAATAATCGATTTTATTATTTTTATTTGAGGTTATGGAAATCGCAGTTCAACATCCGAGTAGAATATCAGTTCCTGAATTACTTCATCAGTTACAAATAACCCAAACTGAATTAGATAACATAAAGGTAAGTAATCATTTAGGGCACGGAACTTTTGTAACAAAACGATTTCCCCCCTCCACTCGTTTTGACACCATACTGTTCAGTGGGAAATTAAAATTTCAAGTTAAAAAAAAATTGTGTTAACAAAAATTGTTCCTGAAACAATTCTAAACAAACTTTGTCAACAATTTTTTTTGATTTAATCAATAATTAAGGAGATAACCTCAAAATAATAATTTTTCTGTTTTTATGCAAAATTATACTTAGATGCTTAATTAATAGAGATGTAAAAAAATTTTATTAAGATAATTGATTCAAAATCAAAATTGAAACAAATTTTATTTAAAACATTTTTTAATAAAAACAATAGCTGTTGAGATAATTAATTTTGATAGCATACTATTCAGAGGGAAATTAAAATTTCAAGTTAGCAAAAAATTGTATTAACAAACACTGT